AGAAGTTTCAGCATGGATGACAGATGTTATTAGAGAGCGTCATTATCATATCTACATCACGTATAAAAAAAATGCAACCAATATTCAAATTAAACAAAGAAGATATATAGTGCATAATTTCTACTTTTGTCCTTTAATATAAGAGCTAAATTATTAATTTATAAATATTAAAAAATTAGTTAAGTTTATTATTGTAATAAATGATGTTATCTTTCATAAATATCCTTATAAATCATATGCATTGAATTATTTCTTAATAAAAAATTTTTAACATGTACAATTTGCCATATGAATTACTTAGACAAAATGGATTGGAGATGTTCAGAACCAAATAGAATTTCCAGCTAATACTTATATTAAGAATAAGAGGTACTGTTTTAATTTATTTTCATATTTAACTTTTATAAAAAAAGTTTGACAAATAGTTCTTTTTTTAAATATTTCAAAAACATTAAAGAGAAACACTAACATATAATTTCAGTGTCAATACCTATGTGCGTCAATTTTGTTCTTTTCAACAGAAGTTTCGGCATGAATGACAGATGTTATTAGATGGATTCACATTGGTATCATACAACACAACAACAAAAATTCTAACCAATATTCAAATTAAAACAATTAGAGATATAGTGCATATTATTTAATTGTTAATACCGGCATGATCAATCCTGATCTTCTCAACAGAAATTTCGGCATGAATGACAAATGTTACTATATTGGTTCACATTTGCATGCTACGTATCGTTATAAAAGGGAAATTCTCTTACAAATCTCCTCATTCATATCAAAGAATAATTTCCTTCATCTCTTCCCCTCTTAGAAGAGTGCATATGAAGTTAGTATCATCATTATTGACATGGATATACTGCAAATTTACAATGTAAGTTCTTCTATCTCATTTGCTAGTACAATTTATTATTAATATGGCATATCGGTTTTTCTTTTCGATTTGACACCCTATATATGACGCTTATGATTTTTATTTCGATGTAGGTTAACAATGTTGTGGAAGGCTTGGAAATACAAGTTGTTACTTACAAAGGCCATGAATTTATATTCAGTTCTTCACCTCATTATGCATGTGTTTACTCACATTCTAAACATTAAAAGATTCTGTAGGAGGTTTAATGATCCACGGCACACAGAATTTGTGTTTCATCTTGTGATGAAGAAATCTGTGACAGAAGGATCATTCTGTAGGAGATAATCTATGCCGGTGGTTGTCGTCATGCGTTGTTCCCTCTGAGATATTCTTCAACTGATGCTGAAGCTGCCACACACTGCCGGTTCCGAACTTTGCTCCCTGTAAAACTAGATTGGAGCAATTTTGGTTCTATGCTATGGTATGAGAGATTAGTACAGTTGGTACTATTAATGTTGATGTTGTTATATGAAGTACTACCTCTGATTCTAATTATAAAATTTCGTTTATAATCTAAAAACAAGATCTTATAATTATGACCGAAAAATATTAAGAATGTTTTGTTCTTGGGGCATCCAACTCGCTGCCAAGGTCTTTAGAGGAAGTTTAATTACTCACATTCCAAACATTATAAGATCAGTTTCTAAATTATATAGAGCAGCATGGGTGGGTTTGGGACTTCCTTAATATGTCTCCTTAATACCTTTTGTAATAATGCCTCAACCTTCTAAACTTTTTTTGTTAGATTTTATATAAAAGCAGCGACATTTTTATATCTCAGGATAATGAAACAGTGTAGTTTTGAATTTTTTTTCCCCCCTTTTTCCAATTGAACGGTGCACTAGGACAGTATTAGATAATGAGGTTTATGCATTATGAAATCATCAAGCAAACCCATATCAACTTTGATTATTAACTTAATCAGATTAAAAATGTTCAGTTTATATATAAATTGTGTTTAGATATTGACTTAAATTAAATTAAATTAAAAACTCCAATTTTTTATTGAAGCTTGAAAAATAAGTTTACTAATATATTTATTTTTAAAGTTTCATTAAAAAAGAAAGAGAGAGAAACCAACCACATCTAATTTTAAGGTATCCATCTTATCAACTCATTTCTTTTGAACGCTAAAGTTTTGACTTTTTTCTTACAAACTCGATATATATTGACAAATAAGCTAAAACAGGTGTTATTACCTGAAATTAATTTATTTGTATGCGCACAACGCTTACCATAAAAGATTTATACATTGATCTTGACATTAGTGAGCTTTAATATTGAGTTCGGGTATTAATTTAAATTTAAATGCTATATAATATATTATTTAACTTCTTGGAATATTTTTCCTAGAAAAATAAGTCTTCATATATATATATATATATATATATATATATTGCATCAAAAATCTTAATAGATAGCTCTGCAACGAAATTATAATATAATATGCTATCCTTGCAATGGGTTACGGGTTCAACATTCCTTGATATGTGGTTGCCTCGAGTAATATTTTCTAAATTATCCAACTATTTTGATGGTGATCGATCATATATCATTGTAAAAAGATTAAAAAGCTAGAATGATAAATTGTGCATCAAAGCTACAAATCAAAGAGAATGGACTAAATAAATATTCAAATTAAAACAATTAAGATGATGGTGCATAATTATTTGATTATTTTTATCTTTAAGCTTACAAATATGTTTTGAGAAATAATTTTTTCAAATAAAAATATCATACAAAAAGACATTTAAAAGGAACACACCCACAATTTCACACTGTCAATCGCCACATGCATCAGCCTTGCTCTTTTCTGTCAAAGTTTCGGCATGATTGAGAAATCAGCTATGATAAGAGTTACAACATTAATTGCTTCACATTTATACGCTACATCACTGTAAGTTTCATACTCTCAAATCTCAATCACATGTATCAACCTTGTTCTTTCCAGCATAAACTTCGACAGGATTAACAAATGGTCTAATAGACTAACAGGTGATTTTAGATGGCATCACACTTTTATGCTATACCACTATAAAGGGAAAATTATTTTAGAAATCTCTTCATTTCATCTCTTTTCCCTCTTACATTTGTATCCTACATCACCATAAAACAAAAATTCCAGCCTATTAATATTCAAATCGAAACAATTAAGACGCTGCATAATTGTTCAATTATTTTTATATGAGCTTATAAATATATTGACAACTATTTCATCTAAAAACATCATGCAAAGACATTAAAAAGAAGTATACTCACGCCTAATTTCACACTGTTAATCACATACATCAACCTTGTTCTTTCCATTGGAAGTCTTGGAATGATTGATGAATCATATAGTATCACATATGACACATGTTATTAGATAACTTCACATTTGTACGCTACATCAATATTCAAATTGAAGTAATAAATACGTTGTATAATTACTTAAATTATTTTTATATTTAAGCTCACAATTTTGACGAATATTTTTTTCATAAAAAGTTCATACAAAATACATTGAAGAGAAACAAACTCACATGATTTTACACAGTCAATCACATGCATCAACCTTGCTCTCTTAGTCTCCTTTCAGCAGAAGTTTCAGCAAGATAGACAAATCATCTATTACTAGTGTTTTTAGATGGCTTTGCATTTGTATGCCAAATCACAGTAGAAGGGAAATTGTAACCAATATTCAAATTAAAATAATTAAGATACTGCATAATAATTTAATTATTTTTTATATTTAAGTTTACCAATATGTTTTGACATAGTTCTTTTCAAAAAATAAAATTCATAAAGACTAAAAAGGAATAGATCAAACTCACACCGAATATCGTGTTGGCAACAAGGTTAAAAAAAATGGACCAGATATTAAACCAATTGAGATCATAATTCAAATGTTAGTGGGTCAGATCGAGATCAGACTAAAATCAAACCAGTAATCATTAAAATAATAAAAAAATAATATTTAACCTGATTTAAGATATCCAAGCTATCTCCACATCCCTTACACACACACACACACATATAAATTCTTTCTTCTTTGACCCTTTTCCTATCTCCTTCACGTGACCCATTCTTATTTTTCACCCCTTTTCATTCTCTCTCTTACTTTATGTCTTGAGTCTTTAACACTCTAAAGGCTACATAACCTATAGTGCCAGCCTTTTCTTCCTCTAGTGTCAGTTTGTGTCTTCTTCTTCTTCAGGGTCCGTTTGGAATAGCGATTGGAAAAGCAGCTTATAGAAAAAGTAGCTTGTGAAGTTGGTAAAAATTAAATTGGATAAGCTGAATTGTGTTTGGATTGGAGTTCAGATAAGCTAGTTTACAAAAATGAGATTGGAAAAAGCTTGTTTGGATTATAGTTGAGTAAAAGTAATTTTGGCTGAAAAATTACCAAAATGGGCATGAGTTTTAATAAATAATGAAACATGATGAAAAATTGATTTAAGACAATACAATAAAATTAAAATAAAATAATATGAAGAAATAAAATTTAATGAGTGGATTAAATTATAAAATATTTAAAAAATCAAAAAATATTTGAAATATAAAGTGAAACATGAAAAAAAAAGAATTGAGATAATATAATGAAGAGGTGAAATTTAGAGTGAATTAAAATTGAAAAATTTAGAGAAATCATAAAAAATATTAGGCAAATAAAAGCAAAACATAATTTGAATGAATAAAACTGTTTTGAACTCCAATTAGTAGTATTGCGACAAAGTGAAATGAAATAATAATATTACATAATTAATTAATTGATAAGCTATGGATAATTTGGTCTCTGATTGCATCACGGACACGATTCATATGAGATGAAGACTGTGAATTGACATTTGAAGGTGATGGTTGACTAGCTTCAGTCTGATCATGTTCGCCAATTACATTACCATCTTCAGCTTGTTGAAAATAGAAGTCAAAGCTTGAATGTCTCCTTATAAGGTTATGAATGGCCATTGTTGCACAAACCAAGTACACTTGTGTTTGGAAGTCGTAACTGCGCATATTTCGTAGGATTTGAAATCTATTCTTCCAGACACCGAATGTTCTTTCTATTGTGCACCTTAAACTGGAATGATAATAATTGAAGGCTTCGTTACTATTTCGGAATCCTACTTGTCGTCGGAAGTCCGGAAGGTGGTAGCGCTCAGATCTGTATGGACCTAGATATCCATTTGGTGTTGGATATCCCGCATCAACCAAGTAATATTTCCCTAAAGATTCATGAAACAATTTCAGACGTTATGAAATGAATGAAAATATAAAATAATTAAAAACGTGCATGATTGGAACATATAAACATATACCTGGAGGTGGATGAGGGAAATTTAGAGATGAATTTGTAATAGCGCTATCAAATATACGAGCATCATGTGCAGATCCCTCCCATCCTGCCAAGACAAAAGTGAAACACATATCCCAATCACATACAGCCATGACATTTTGTGATGGATTTCCCTTTCTGCCAATAAATCTATCTCGTTTTGCAGCGGGGACAACACACGGTATGTGAGTACCATCAATTGCTCCGATTGCGTCCTTAAAAAATGGATAATAACGTGGATCATTCTCAATTTTTCTATGAGTTCCACGAAATGTAGGATCTACAGGTCGAATGAGTTCACTTGATAGGCTAAGGCAAGCTTGTAGTACATTGTGAAAGTGCCTACTTACAGTTTCCCCTGAACGTTGAAATCGTTCCTGGATCATCCTATTACATTGTCCATGTGCAATCGTATTTAAAAACATCGCGACCACTTCTTCAATTCCTATGTACCTAGACTTTCGCAAACCATGTTCCTCCAATTTAGTACATAAGAGGTGGAAAACATGTTTATCCACTCTAAACATTTCAGGACATCGATCATCATGCCCATTCATAATGTCTTGTACCCATAAATTTCCTGTTTGCTCACTAGTTCTACAGGGTTGTTTAAACATATACATTTCACAGTAATGACCAACCAATGCACCTACTGCTTCATATTGTGTTAATTCCTCATTAATCATGGATAACCGTCTTGAATGGTCATCTTCATTCCACTGTGAATCATCATTCCAATCCCTCAAAGTATCCTCATTCCACGGTGAATCATCATCCCAATCCCTCACAGTATCTTCATTCCACTGTGAATCATCATTCCAATTAGCCATTTTTGGAGTTAACCCTGTAACTATAATAACAACAAAGTGTAAGCATTATAAGGACTACACTAAACCCCATGTAAATAATTTTCACACTACAAACAGAAAAACCAAACACATAGATGACAATTAGAAATTAGCATAAATATATTACATAGTCATTACTAAAGTTCCTACAACAAGTCACATCAGTTCAGGTTCAAACAGCAAACATTTCAAGTTAACAAGTGCAACAACTAAATCCTAAACTAAATCCTATTCTAGAGGTGCCTACTTCCATGTGTCTGGATCTTGTGCTGCCGGTATTAACCACGCCAACAACTTCCTTCTATCATGCATAAACCCCAAATAGGCTCGCCTAGCCCACCTCAACCGCGTAAGCATCTTGGCACATGCATAATATAGTTGGAGATCATCATTAAGCTCCTCAACGGTAGTCAGGTGTGCTAAAACCTTGTCAACTACTTGGGGATCTTCAACCAGTGCCGCTGCTCGCTTGTCAGAAGCAGCTGCTATAACACTAAGACTATCAGAAATTTTAGTAGACGCGGAAACTTTTTTCTTCTTCTTTACATCAAATGTCTCACCCCTCTTCCTCTTTCCATAGCTTCCTGAGCCACTTGGTCCAGTACTCGCAGGGGTGTTTAAGTTGCAACCGGCAAAGTCATCGGTGAATCCTGCAGTGGCTGTTGGGTCAACTCCAAAATTTCCATCTTCACTGTCCCCTGACCCTTCCTGTTGGTCCAGGCCAACTCTATAAACATCCTCCTCCTCTTCTGTACCAGCCTGTGTCACAGGTGTCGACTGGGGCTGTGAGGCTGATGGTGCATACATATACTCTCCCGAAGCCACAACATCTTTGAATATTTTCTGCAGCTCTGATGCAAACATCAACCCCTGATATCTAAATTTCTTGAAATTAGGGTCAACCTACATTACATTAACATAATTAGGCAAAATCAAACAAAGTCGTAACGGATATTCAAAATTAAAACTCAACCAACGGAAATAATTACCAGTAATTTTCGTTGCCACCACTCATCGGAGGCTAAAATCCTATTTGTGGCTACATCATAACCAATCCCAGTCTCTCCAGACATCAGTTTATCCCACAATTTCCAATCTTTTCGCAATATATCAAATCTATTCTTCAATTGCCTTCTGTCATACATTCTCCCACTCCTTTCTTGAAAGTTCTTTTCAATTTTTCCCCAACCAGGCCTTGTAAATGATGTTCCTTGTCGTTCCTTGTGCACTATTTGCTCGGCACAAACATCGATTAGAATCTTTGTCGTGTAAGGATCCCATGTCGCTTTTCCCTTATCATTGTCCATTTCTTTATCCTTTTGATGGAAACAAAACTAACTAAATCAACCAAAACCCTAAATATATAATAATGAAAGCCACATTATGTAATCACCAAACAAACATATATACTATTTTCTTAATATTATTGTAAATGCATTTGTTATCAAAACTCCAATTATTATTATGAAATATAAAAATATTAATTAACACATTATAATTGCAAAAACTGTTTTGCTTTCTTATTCAAAAACTCAATTAATCAATTGTTTTTCTTATTGTTTGAAAAAAAATTGTTCATCTTTCAATTAGAACTGCCATATTTTAACAGAAACTTAATTAATAATGACTTATTTAATAGAAATTTAATTAGGGAAGACAATTCAGTAGTTAATTACATTATTAAAAACCAGCATTATAATGACTAAAAAATTGTTATCAAATTACTTTCTTCAGTCTATTTCACATAAAACTACTGAATGATCAGTGTAACACTCTGATATACACTTCAATCTATTTCACATAAAAAATTTTGTTTTTTTGTACATTTTTCTTTCAAAATTCCAGGACCATTGCAACCCAATAATCAGTGTAACACTCTGATATACACATATACACAAGCTCATACGCACTTATACAATATCCAGAATGATCATCACGTTTTCACCAAAAAAAAATGAATGATTCATCACGTATACATCAGGTCCGTTTAACATCTACGTTCTGCTCCCCGTTAATTCACAAAACCACCAGCAAGCCGTCGAAAAACCAGAAGCAAAACAAAGCAATTATCATAAACCGATCGAAAAAATCACCGACGACGGAGAACACTTGACTTCCACCAGCGACAGAAACAGAGCACCGCAACAAACCAGATCGAAAAAATCATAAACCGAACACCAGGCGACGGAGAACTCTTCACTTCCACCGGCGACAGCAAATCCGACCAAGAATCAAACCAGAAAAGAAAGAAAAAATTGTAATCACCAACCTGTAACAGATCAACCGAATCGAAGGCAGCTAGAGATAGATCCCACCGTGTATCGCAAGACAAGATCGACGCACAGCTTGAAACCACAGGCAGACGGCGGCGACCTCGGTTGCAGACGGCGTGACCAGCTCGGACTTGCAAGGAAGAAGCACCTCCAGCCGACCATGGACACCTCACACCCACGACTCGAAGCGCACGACGGTGCTCACGGTGACCAGAGAGGGACCTTCAGCGGGGCGACCTTCAACTCACGGCGGCAAGAGAGAATGGGAGAGGAAAAAAGGAACAGGCACGAAAATGGGAGAGGAAAAAGACGAGCTGTGTGAGACGGGGAAATGAAAATGAGAGGGAAAAAACAACACAGCATCTGACACCCCACACTTTCTTTTTTTTTTTTCCCCGCGAGAAGCTCTTCTGGGCTAAGCAATAAGCTCCTTTCTTGAGCTTATGAGAATCCAGCGTTCCATCAGCCACTTTTTCTATAAGCCCAATCAGGCCTATTGGGCAATCTAGCTTATTTTATAATTTAAGCTCACTTTAAGCTGGATAAAAGTGAATCCAAACAGGCATTTATTATGTGGGTAACCATTTCTCTCGCAGCTTCCATGGCTTCTCACTTCAGATCTGATCGTTTCTTACTGGAGGAGAATGGTGATGACAGAATAACTATCACAGCATGCGAATGACGGTGACTGTCACTCTTCTTCCTTCTTACTTTGGTCTCCTTTATCTTTTAGATATGTGCTCTTTCCTCCGTCTTCCTCTACTCCCCCTCTCCCCCTCTTCTCCTTTCTCATAAGCAACCCAGTGTAACCAGCCAAACCAGCAGTTTACTCTAGTTTTCTCCGGCTTACTCTGGTTCAGGCCAAGTTACAACACGTTGGCTTTTTTCTGATTTAGGAGGTGAATCGGACTAGACAACTGGTCGGTTCATCAATTTCGGTTTGAACTGGCCGGTCTAGTCCAATTTTTGAACATTGGCTAGCAATCACAAGCATCGACCATGTTCTTTTCAGCCGAAGTTTCGACATGATTGACAGATGGTATTAGATGGGTTCACTTTTACGTTCCACATCATTATAAAAAGGAAGTTTTCTTACAAATCTCCTTATTGATATCAAAGATTTTTCCTTCATCTCTTCCCCTCTTAATTGGAAGAATACATATGAAGTTATTATCATCATTGACATGTATATGCTACTGCAAATTTACAATGCAAGTTCTTCTATATAGTTTGCTAGTACAACCTATCGGTAATTTGACAGTTACAGATTTTTCTTTTTTCATTCGACACCCTATAAATGAAGCTCATCATTTTCATTGCGATATAGGTTAACAGTGTTGTGGAAGGCTTGGAAATACAAGTTGTTACTTACAAAGACCATGAATTTATATTCAGTTCTTCACCTTAATGTGCAAGAGTTTACTCACATTCTAGACATTAACAGCGAAAGCTGTGAATGTAGCATCATTTTATTTGAGATAATCTATGTCAGTGGTTGTCGTCATACGTTATTCTGTCTTGAATATTCTTCAGTAAGTGCAGATGCGGCCACCCACTCTCAAGTGGACGGAATTCCGCCTACTGTAAAACTAGATTGGAACGAGTTTAGTTCTATGGTAGTGTCAGAGAGATTATTACTGATGCTCATGAAATTAATATATGGTACTATTAATGTTGTTGTTATACGTTGTATTAAGAATGTTTTGGTCTGAGGACATCCAATTTGCTATTAAGTTCTTTGAAGGAGGTTTAATTACTCGACATTACAAGATTAGTTTCTAAAGTATAAAGCAGCATGATCGGGTTTGGAACTTCTGATATAACTCCCTTTAATACCAACCTTCTAATTTTTTTTTTTATTATTATTATTAGATTCTACATAAAATTAGTGATATTTTGATATCTTGTGATAACGAAATAGTGTAGTTCTTTTTTTTTTCTTTTTCAATTGAACGCTACGCTATGACAACATTAGATGATAAAGTTTATTAGCAGTGGGAAAATTAGGAGGAATTGAAGGACCAAAAGAAAATGATTTTATCAGAGAGGACCATAAAAATTGTAATTATTAAGAAGACTAAATACTTAAGTATTACCGCTGGCTTCCTCTAAATTCTAATTGAAAGCTACTTCATCACTACTACCTCTGATCCTAATTATAAGACCTTAGATACAAATAAGGTCTTATAATTAGGATAGGAGGTAGTATTATTACCCGTTCACAGTGGACCCATGACGACGAGGGATCTAAAATACTGGTTCGTCATAATAGACCTTAGAAATCAAACAAGTCACTATAATAAGTTAATAATCCTAGGAATTCCATGGCTTATAAACCCACATGATGCTTAGCGAGTTGCCTATTTATCGATTAATTTAATTCGCATCTATTTTTTGTTAATTGAAGGTGTTTTGTTGCGTGTTTCTAATATTAAATCATGACACATTTGTCAATTTAATTAATACTACTATCTTTAGTCCTTAATATAAGATCTAGTTGACTAATAAGATATTAATGAAAATAAATATTACTTAATTACAACATATGTTACATGATTTCTTTGAAATAGTTGTGTGTAATCAATTTGAAGAAAAACGATATTAATAGTTTAAATTGATTGGCAAGAAAAAATTGTAAAGTTAATTTTTCTTTCAAATTTCCATCAGAATAAAAGCTTTTTTTTTTATCATCCTTTATTTTATTGTTAT